AAAATTAATTTTTTATGTGATGATCCCCTCATAAACATCACAAATTTTAACCTATAAAATCAAATGTCCACTATGCTATTTTAAACTAATTTTCGTGTGTTTAAAAAAATGAATCATATAGCGCTTTCAAGTGACCAAGTAAATTATCTCGTTTTTCGTTATCTAAAAGAATCAGGTTTTGATCATTCCGCTTGGGTTTTCAATGAAGAAAGTAAAGCAAGTCAACTAGGTTTCAAAGAACCCGACATAAGAAATGGAGAATTGGTAAAAGTCATTCAAGAAGGATTGCAACTTAGAGATCTGACGCTGCACTCACGTTCAGATGGACGAACAATAGGTTGTAACGTTCCCGTGCAGTTGATAGGTACTCACCAATGTGATGCACCATCAACTCCTAACTCTAATGAAGAAAATATGTTAGCGAATGACAACGAAAATGAAAGAGTTAATCAGAGGAGTTCACCAGAAGTAGAATTAACAAAAGTAAATGATGCAGATATTAGACATGAATCTATAGCTCAAGAAGTTATTCTTTACGAAAAAGAATCTAAAAGAAATATTCAAAATATTGATACGCTTCATCGAGAGCAAAGTGGCGGTGAACTAAATGATTTAAAAAATAATCAAAATGATAACAGTGACGATATGGAAATAGATGTTCCAGTGAGTCCTCCTTCACCAGCATTGATTGTCAATAAAAATACACTTTCACCTTTATACGCTCCACCAGTTAGTCAATCTGTTCCTACTAAAAAGCCATTGAGTAGTCGAACTTCACCAATGACAAATACTATTGTTCATAAATTAGAATCATTGAATCATATATTATTAAAAGTTCCTGGTGAAGAGTTGGTTTCTTTTTCTTGGAAACCAAACGAAGATGTTTTAGCTACCGGAGGACAGGATGGAATCTTGCGTATATGGCATATACCTGATTTTAGTGAAAGACTTCAAGAACCAAAAAAAATTGAATATCCACCTTGGTTAAATGAAATTGATACTACACAAGCAGCTTTTATAACTTGGTTAGATTGGCATCCTACTCAAGATGATTTAATTGCATGTTCATATTTTAACGGATTATCAACTGTATATAAGATAAATAGTGGTCTTTTACATCGCAAACTAGAAGAACATCGTGCAAGTACTTTAAAAATAAAATGGAGTCCCAAAGGATTTAGAGTTTTAACTGCTAGTTGTGATAAGAACGTAATTTGTTGGGATCGGGATGGTCAAGCAATGCGATTTGCCGAGGTGCATAAAGATACAGTAACAGATGTTGCATGGAAAGATGATAGAATTTTTGCATCGTGTTCTAATGATAAGAAAATATTTTTATGGGATTTTAAAATAAAGGAAAGACCAACTATGGAATTTGCAGGACACGATGATGAAGTCTTTTCCATTAAATGGGATCCTACAAAAAACTATTTAGCATCTTGTTCCAAAGATGGAAAATGCAAAATTTGGTCAGAAGGTAATCATGCACCTTTACAAACCCTTCAAACCAAAGATGGACCTATTACCTGCGCAGAATGGCATCCTAAATCGAATGATAATGAAACTTTATTATTGACCACATCACAAAATAGTGGTGTAGTAAGAATTTGGAGTGCTCTCGAAGGAATTTGTTTACGTGACTTTTCACCACATAAATTACATATCAATGCAATTGAATTTTGTTCAAATGGGCAATACTTTGCTACGGGTTCCGCGGACAATCATTTACACATAATTGATGCTAAGACATATAAAATACGCGAGAGTCATTTTTTGGGAAATGATATCATGAGTATAAAATGGAATCATAATTGTACTAAAATTGCCGCGACGTTACATAATGGAACTATTTATATTATTAAGGCATTTTCTAATGAGTAGGCTTGGTGCGTGTTACTTGTGTATTTTTTTGGGGGGGTATCATTTACGTATTTTTTTGGGGGGGGAAATTATTTACATTTTAATTGGATATTAATTGAGGATAGGACGAACAGTTTATTTATTAAAGAAATTTAATAATTACGAAATTTTCAATAAATTAATGATTTTCACCAATTTTTTCTGTTATTATATTTTAAATTATCATCTAGTTCATATTGACTCGATTTTGTTAGGATAAGATATAGAAAGAATACGAAAGAGCATAGGAAGTAGTAGGCTATGATTATTGAACTTTATAATCTTTTAGTTTTAAGTCATAAACGATCATAGCCACGTGTAATGAAATGAAAATTTTGTTATTTATGGATGCTAGAATTTTGGGTGGCATTATTGTTATAATTATCAATTTATTTATTTATAAAAATTTAAATAGAAGAATACTTCGTTTATAAAATGACAATAATAACCTATTCCCCGTATAAACAATAATAATGCTACAAATTCTCATGTCACATTTTAATTTATTTATCCATAAAATAAAAATTTAAGCGACCGATTCCAGACGGTCTCTTATTCAAAAACGAAGGTTCGATAAATCATGTGTGGAAGCAGAAAACTACCAATTTGGTTTGTTCTTTTTATGTTTCTTTTTATGAAAATTTGCATTATTCCATTCCATTTAACAAAATATTCAATTTCCTCAATTTCAATATGTTTTTGAATAATAGACTTAAATCCATTTATGAACTAAGGTGTGATTATTGTGATTATTACAAAATAATTACTAAATTTTTTTTTTACTTTTGAGTAACTATTTGTAGAAAATTTTAGTAAAATGTGGTGTTGAATATTAACTTAATATTTTTGTTGTTATTGTATTACATTAATTTGAATTTTATGAATTTATGGTATTTTAAAATATTTTAATAATATGATTTATAAATATTTTTTGGAAACCTTATTTATCATCACCAGAAAAGTATTACCATATACATATTACAATTCAAACAAAGATTGTAATTCAATTAATAACAAAAAATTACATTCTTTTTTGTAATTATGATCTTGAATTTTATTTAAATTCAAATTGGTTGCAGTGACAAAGCGTATGTAATATAAATTAATAAATAAATAAGATCAAAGATTTTGACTGAACCCACAGAATTAAATAAATTCTGATATTATCTATGACCGTTTTAACAGAGTTTTCCTGGATCCAATGGGTTTAACAAAGAATGTCTTATAAATTGTTTTTGGCGCAAATCATCTCTACTATCATTATTTTTCCTCAAGCGTATTTCCAAGAATTATATGTTAATATTGTCTTTTAAGAGACAAGAAACAGGTTCTTTAAAACTTCAGTTATAGATTCAATTTTCTTGAACCTTTTAAAATTCTCTTGAAAGCAAAAACTTTAGGTATGCGTGTGTTGCAACCGCGCATCAATTCGGTCATTGGATTTTATGCAAAAGAATTAGAGCAGCTTAAGAGCCTACTCTTCTGGCTTCTACGATAATTATGAATGCTTTCCATATTATCTCTTCCTTCATCAAGAAATACCGTACTTCTAGCCAGTTGTTATTTAATAAGAGGTTCGTCAAATTTATCAACATCAACCTCACCATTTGATAATTAACACTACGTCTTTTTAGTTGTAATCTTTTATTGCTTTTTGTACGCTCAGAAAATTATTGATTTGTACGTGCTGGAATATAAATGAAATACAAATTTATGATTTATGCAACACGTTTTTTTAAAAAAATCTATTTTATTGTTTTTCCACACATAATATTACTACGCTTTTAATATCTACTAAAATTTTTTTTGGTGAAAAAAATACAATAATTAGAAAAGAATTTTAAAATTTTTACAGAGAGTTATAGTAAAATTAGCAGAGGGAAGAGGGATACAATGAATAATTTTTAATTGAAAAATATGTACAAAAGAAAAAATTAAACATAATAAAGGAATGAAAAAATGTAAAGTTTTGACCACATCAACCAAAAAAAAGTTTGATCAATTCATTTCGAAAACTTTCAAACCAACCAAAAATTGCTCCTAAATATTTTTACAATCAAAAATTACCAATTACTAATTAATAACTAACTAACCAATCACTCCTAATATTTAAACGAATTAAGGTAAAAAGGGTATTTAATTAACAAGTTAAGATGTACATAAAAATATTAGACTAAATTTTCTCATCAGAAATTAGATAAATTTTCTTGGAAAGAAAAAAAGTAACACAACAAAAAAAAAAAATCCAAATAAAGGTAATAAGTAATATTAACATAATCAATATGCAAATTAAAAATCATGTCTAGACGATAAGAAAATAAAAAAAAAATGAATTAAAGAATCGAGAAATAATACGAAATCTAAGTGATTCCGGAGATTGTATTATGTAAAACGTACCACTAAGTGAAATTCTTTGTTTCTGGAGACCTGTCTTCCGAAACTAAAACAATAATAATAATTTTTTGATTTTCATAAAGTAATGTTTATTTATAATCTATATTTTCTATTAAAAATAATTAGTACAGTAGAAAAATTCGTAAATCATTCTGTCCAGAAGTAATGATTTACATTTGGTCCTCCATAATTTGAACCATATTGATCACCAAAATTATTAGAAGGCATATGTCCACCTTGTCCACCATGTCCACCAAAATTACTTGAATTAGAATTTATATGTCCACCAAAATTATCTGAAGAGGAATTGGGCCCTATATGTCCACCATATCCCTCATATCCTTTTGGTTGTATTCCTCCGAATCTACTAGATGATGAACCGTTAAAATTTGGTATCGTTCCCGAATAACCTCCTCCATATGCGTTATTTGATGGAAGAGGTACTGTATGATATCGAGAATGCGGTAGTGATGATGTATAATCGTTTGCGTAACTTACCGGCGATGATTCCATATTAGAATCAAACATTCCGGGGGAACCATACTGAGCAGGAGTATTATAATGGATAGATGTATATTTATTATGACTTGTGCATCCGTGTCCATTTGGTGTTGCATAACCGCTAACAGATCCATATCCGTAATCACAGAATGATGATTCGGGTGCTGAATAACTACCCGAATCTGATAAATTACCTCCAAAATATTCATAATCTGAAGAAGAACCCGTATTTCTTCTTCGACGACTAACTGGGGTGTGTAATCCTAACTCTCTCATAATTCTTTGCTCTCGGTCTTTTTCTTCAGCAAGAATCATATCAACTTCAGTGATATCGACTTTACTCTTTAATGCAGCTTTACCCTGAACGATCATGTCTGCCAACTTTTCATTTACTTTAAGTAACATTTCATCTTGATCGTCATATGCTCGATGCATTGATGAAATATCAGTTGAAGAAGATTTACGACGAAGTGGTCGCCTAGGACGACGTACACGAATTTGTCTACGTTTAGTAGGTGTAGGTAGATTAGAAGATAAAATATCAATTGGAGAGGAATTTCTTTGTATTGGTTCAGTTGGAGTTGCAAAATGTATCTGTTTTTGGGCAGATTTTTCTGGGGAAGAGTCAGATAAATTATCGGTGGAGATGTTGGAATTTTTGCGTTGTTCCTGAAAAATATTAAATATAAAAATAATAAAAATATTAGAAAACGATAAAAATAAAATAAAAGTACTAATATCTATTAAGTATTTATATTTAGTAATCAAGTACTCTAAATAATAATAAATAATAACATATAAAAATAATAACATATAAAAATAATAATATATAAAAATAAATAATATATAAAAATAATAATATATAAAAATAAATAATATATAATATTAATAAATACCAATGCCCAAGAAATATCATATGGTGGCGGAGGTTCATCTTCGTCGTTTGCAAACCATGATGAACGTTGACCTTTTTTATTAGGTTCGATATTATCATTTATTTCGTTAACGTCACTACTTTGATTTATTTCATTGTCAGTAAACTCATCATTATCCTCATATCCAGAAACTTCAGAGTCTACCCCAATTTGCATTACATCATCATCGGGATAATAATTTTTTCGTGACTTTCTAGGAGACCTTTTATTAGGTATTTCTGATTCTTTCCCTCCGAAATGTAACATCTGATAAGCCTCAGTAGCATAGGCAGAAGTGTAAGCAGCAAATTTTGTTAATCCGTACAAAAAACTTGTAGCAACTCCAGGTTGTTGTGAAGAAGGAGAACCGTTATTACCAACAGGAGTGGCTGCGTGAGCCCTTTGACCCTGTTGAAGTTGCATGTCTGTCTCAGATTTTGTTTTCAAATAATAATAATAATAATAATAATAAAAAAGTAACTAAGAATTTTTTAAATAATAAGTGAGTTGAAAGTTAAAACTCTAAGGTTTTTGAAAAATAAAAAAAACTTGCAGAAGTTCTAAATTTGTTTGCTTAGGCCAAACTGACTTTATATAAGATTTATAAGGTCCCTTTTTTAATTTTTTAATATAAAAAAAAAATTTATTAAATTTTAGGGATGAATTACAAGAAGCTTATGTGTTGCACGAATAGTTTTAATATGGTAACGGTCTATCATTAATACGTAATCTCCTCTACCCTAAATATAATTGACTATAATAAAACAATTATATTTAGTGTGATATAATTATACAGTAGACTATAAGTAAACGTAAACTTTTATATTACTGGTATGTATGTGCGCATGTCATATGTTATATTATATATATATTATATTTACCAAGTATGATAACAGTAAAAATATCCCTTATTGATATATCCTTCTTGAAGATATGCTGTGCAATTTGTGCAATTTTAATGACCATTTATATACAAATTATTTTGCGCACAATCGATATTGGTATTAAAATATTTAAATTTAGTAAGGATATACGGATATACGTCTAACGGTATCGGTGAATCTCGTGGTAATAGATTTTTATCTTCTGGAGGGCTGAAATTTGGGTTCTCAATGTTTCCTAGTATGGAACTTTAGTTTTGAAAACTGTGAATCCAACTGGATAAATGTTTAATTTTCAACATATGACAGATTACTCTTAAAAAAGGTCACGCAAATAATAAATGCATTATGCCCACTCACTCGTTTTCTCTGCGAATTATTTTCCGACCTATACATTCGACCCCATTTTCTACTGTATATAATTACATCATGTAGTTACTATAATTGATTAATTTATTAAATATTAAATTTTGAAAAGGAGTCCTTGTTTTTTAAAAAAAAATAATTACCCCAATTAATTTATCACGTGTTTTATAAGCAACGCGGAATATGTGAAACAGTACAACCGTAGTGCAAGCGTGTAACTATACACGAGTAGAAGATCACCTTGACCTCATGAAAATATTACATATTACTGAACAATGATGTATAACTTTTAACGAATCAAAAGCGAAAAACCGGTGATACTAAATCTGGTTGGTATTCCTTAAATCGAAAAAATAAAGTGGTGTCAAACATATTTTTATTTCCTTTGTCGATTAAACAATGAAAAATTAATATTTATTAATTAATTAATTCACCACGTTTACATTATATAAATATATATATGTAATCAAAATGTAATGTGCGAGATAATTCACGATTAAGTTCGTAATTAAAAAATGAAACTTCATTTACTAAGAGCATAAAGACTTTACATTTTAAAAAAAGAATCTTGCAGTTTTCGTAACAAAATTTAAATCTTTCGATTTACTTTTATTTATAAGTGCATATGTAAACATAATTATCATTTATTTGTTCATAGTTCTAAACAAAAAACATAAGGACTTCTGTCAACCGAATAAAGCACAACATGAAAACAGCAAAAAAAAAAAATAAATTCTTTATTTATATTTCTGATATAATTATAATACGTATACAAAGTAATATATAAATTAAAAAAATTAATGTCTAAATATCACAAGGATTTTTTTTTCTTTTTTATATTGAAAGATAAGATAAAGGGTAATTTCAACTGATTCTTGTAACCTTCCTCATTTGACGTCATTCTTCTATCTTGGCGACTGAATGGCCGACTTGGACATTCTCATTCACGTTTATAGATTTTTCTGTTCTCTCCTCTTTAGACATTTTATATTTTTTCCATTGCCTTTCTTTCTCAAGATCCAATCGATTTAAAATCTCTTGAGCTAATTTTATAACTTCTTTTCTTCTTTTTCTAATAAGTTCGTTTCCATCACTTCCAATTTTATCCAACTTTTCTATAACTTTCAAAATTGTATATTCATATTCAAGAAATTGTCTATTGTTTGTAGATATAGGTAATAATTGTGATGTCGTCTGTTCGTCACTAAACGTCAATTCCAATTGATAATTTTGAGATTCCAAAGTAATCAATTGATTTTGTATTTCTCTTAATTGTAAAAGTTTTGAGAGAATATTTCGAGTTTTACGATTACCAGTACTAGTCTTTAAGAAATTGGAAATCTTTTGAGATGCTTCATTTTTATTAATTGTTGTTTCGACTTTTCTGTCGGAAGAATCAGATGGTGTCGTGATGGGAATCGACGTAGATCTCTTGGGTAAAGTAGTGAAATTATTACGTTTATTAAATTTTTTTGGTCTTTGAGTTAATCTTTCAAGGTCAATAAAATTTGATGGCGTATTATTTATATTTATTTTCTCGGGCTTAGGGGTAGAATCAGATCGATTTAAATTATTTCTATTATTATGATAAAATGAATTTACGTTATCATTTAGACGATTATTATCGTGATAATAATTACTTTGACGTTGGTTACTACGATGATAATTATTGCGGTAATTATTATTATAGTAATTATTATTATAATAATTATTATTATAGTAATTATTATGATAATTATTTGAACATGGTTGTGAATATAAAGAAAAAGGATTTGAATAATAAGAACTATTTGGGGTTCTTGTAAGGTAGATAATGTTTTCTGGTTCTTCGGGGTGATAAATAAACATATTGAATAAAAAATAATTTGAGTGAGATTTTTCTTTTCAGGACGTATTTTTGTTTACTTTATATATTAATTTGTTGTGGTGACTAATAAATATTCTACAATTTTCTCTATAATTCGAGAATTTCTATTTTGATGAAATGACGCAGTACTTGAAACATGTGATTCGATAGATTATTAATCGATTGTATATCATGTGCTTGGTGTAGATCCTAGCGAACATTTATCCCAAGGAATATTTTCCATTATATATTTTAAATACTCAATGTAATGATTCTCAAAGAACATTATGCGATCTCACTTTTAAGAGCTATTTATTTGTTATTTCCTTTCATTATAGATTCTAATTTATTGTGGAACTTCAAGAATCTTAAGAATATTGTAACGTTTTAAATATTTTTCAAAAACAAAACCAAAACACAACTTTAATTATCCAGAATTCTATATTTTGTAAATGATTCTTTCTTTTTTGAAATTCATTAATTATTCATCAAACTTTTCTCTCATATTTAATTTAATAACGTTATCAAATCGGGTAAATTTCGATGTTTTTTCTAAGAAATATAAGAATAAATACAAAGAATAAAGAAAAGATGAATTATAAAGTAATTTTGATTTTTAAAACAATTCTGTTTATTCTTAATTTATTTTCTTTTCATTTTTACCATCTTAATTTTGTATCATATAAAATTATAAAATCCCATCATAAAAAAAAAAGAAAAAAGAAAAATTTAATCCACCTTTTTTTTTTTTTGGTGAATAAAACTGGGATTGATAGGATTAATATGAATCTTTTCTAACTAATTTTCATATATGTATAAAAACATAATTGACGTAAAAAAAAATTAATAAAGTACTAGAAGAAAGGAATTAGAGAATATAAAATAAGAAAGATCAAATATTTGTATTCCTTTTTTAGATTAAGCTTCAGGTTCACCAGTTCCTTTCTTTCCTTTCTTCGGCAAGAGGTTTTGATGAATGTTCGGAAGTACACCTCCTTGAGCGATCGTAACGTGACCAAGTAACTTATTTAATTCTTCGTCATTACGGATTGCAAGCTGGAGATGGCGAGGAATAATACGCGATTTCTTGTTGTCACGAGCAGCGTTACCTGCAAGTTCTAAAATTTCTGCGGCGAGGTATTCAAGTACAGCAGCAAGATAAACTGGAGCACCAGCACCAACTCTTTGTGCATAATTTCCTTTACGTAGTAGACGGTGAATACGACCAACCGGGAACTGAAGTCCTGCTTTGGCTGAACGCGATGAGCTACTAAGTTTCGAGGTTGCAGTGGCAGCAGCTTTACCTCCAGATTTTCCTCCCGAAGACATCTTTTTGAATTATGTACAGAGTGAAGGGATAAAGTTTAAGACTTTAAGTATTATGGTGTGTTTTCGCGCTTTTTTTGTTATGTGAAGAGAGTTGATTTCTTGCCGTGATTTTATTAATGTACCAATCGAACAATTATTTTAAAATTTAAATGTGAAATGTGATTAATGTGATTACAAAAGATCCTTTTGATGCTCTAAAAAGAAATACTTATGACATCACATGATAGCAAATTATTAATCAATACCAACAATTTTTTTTAAAAATTAAATTAAATATCGGAACAGTACATATTCAAAATAAACTTGTAAAAATCTAAAAAGATCTTTAAAAAAATGTTGTCTCCCGATTCCTCCTTCCGAAATTGAAAAACTGACAGAAAATAGAAGTAAATATTTATTTCTTCATTGTTAATATACTTATTCCTTGTCACTTTCTGCATTCAGAAAACAGAAAATGTGTAGATCTGTGTGACAGCGCACACAGTTACACTTTAAGCATGTGACATCGTATATATCCAGGGTGCTAAAGTATCGTTTTTGAGACACCTATGGTCATTTTTTTGATACATCAAATACGTGATATGTTTATAATTGTTTTATTTATAGATGCATCAAAAAAATAACTATTTTGTCACATGAAATTTGATATATCAAAAAAATAACCATAAATATATCACCTTTGCATCCAGGGTATACCTACTGGCGTATGGCCATAACGTCCTCACTAGATGTTCTGTTATACCTTCTGTTAATTTGTTATGTGTTATATAATGCTCAATTACGCATGATATTCAATATCTTGAAAATACAGCTTGCAATGATTTAGATTGCTAATCTAAAATGTATTAAGACCTGAAAACAGAAATATTCAGTTTTACAAATTTTCAGACAATCACGAGAATGAACGAAAAAAAATTTCAATAACTCAAGTATCCGACCATGTGAAGATTGGCGCAATCTTTAAAATTTAAAGCCAAATTTATTTTTATTATTATTAAAATATTTACTAAATAAAAAATTATCATCACAGGTGATTGGCAAAATTTCATAATTCCTTGATCTACCCTAACCAACGTAAATTTAATTTTGCCCAGTGGTGACAATCACCTGCGGTGATATTTAGCAATCTTCATCTATGATCTCTTCTTGATATACTTTCTACTAAATTTTTAATTTTTCAAGTTCAATTTAATACTATCCCTCCTTCAATATAACCACTAAATCATTGAGATTTTTGGATGGGGATTATTTTTACAAACTTTTCTTTCCATAAATGCTCAATTGAATTGAGATCTTAGACTAAGGAATATTCTTATTCAAATTATTTTCTATTCAATCTTAACTATTTTTGCTTGATGAATTGGAGCATTGTCATCTTGAAAAATATATTCCAAATTATCTTTTGGTTCATTAATAAATGGTAAAGAAACCTCAATATATTTAGAACCTATAATTCTACCAGAAACTTGAACAAGGGTCCAAACATATTTTCATAAAACATCCCCCACACCATTACACCCTGATTTTCTAATTTTACAGTTGGATAATTTATTGTATTTTTTTTCATGTAGACCCAATGGTGAGAATTATTTTGAAATAATAAAAGCAAAATTTATTACTCCAAATTATTGTATTTCAATCTTTTCCACTACAACACCATTCTAATCTTTTTTCCAATTTGCCTCAGATACCAAAGGTTTTCATGACTATAAAACCTTCATTGTGTAAAGTATACTTAATAGTATGAGAAGTTATTGAAACTATTGAGAATTTATTGAATTTATCTATTAGACCATCTAAGGATTTTAATGATCTTTTATTATTTTTACAAGATGTTTAATATTTCTTTCAGTTAATTTAGGTGTTCTACCAGACCTAGAAGCAGTTATAGTTTGTTATTCAGGTTTTATATTTTTAAATAACATAATAAATAGTTGTCTTAGGATAGTTTAAAAATGTCTCCAATATTATGTTTACTGTCCATCTTTCCAGAGGCTAATAATTTTGCCATGTTCAAATTCGGTAAGTTCGCAAACTTAAGTGGGTTTTAATATCTTTTTAAGGTATTAATATCTCTAATATGTTTGGATTGGATTATCATTAAGTTATATAATAAGAACTTTGAAAGCTTCAAAGGTTATTTGTGTATGACACTACAGCATCTTGAAGAATATTTAGAAATTATCAAAGATTAAAATTTTGATAACGTACATTTGATAGTTTTCTGTAATGTCAAAATCCTCGTTTTTTTTTTGTTATCTAAAAATTCAACCTCTCCTTTCTTTGCTCTTTGACAATTACCACCATATGATATCTTGAAGAAAGATTATAATAGATAAAAAAACTATGTATAAATAAAATAAAAAAAAGAATTTGCTATGTGAATTATTAAAGAAATTAATAAAAGTTGGAAAGGCGAAAAGGGCATCATTATATATGAAATTTTAGCATAATTTATTATAATATTATTTAATTCTTGTTAATGTCATTAATTATTTATAATTGTAATTCGATCTTTTCGTTCAACATGAGGAATCTCGAGATTATATTATTATGTATAACAAAATACTTTATTTTTTTTAATATATCAATATATCCCTTCCCTTCTAAATATTTACAAATAAAAATAATAAGAAATTTATGTATATACAATAGAACCAGAAAATAAATATAAAAAATTTGAATATAACAAATATTGGATTTTTTTCTTTGAAATTTTTTATGAATATAAACCTTGATGAATATAAAATATAAAAACCTTTGTGAAATATGCCACAATAAAATTATAGAAAGATCATTAAAAACTGAGAGTAAATTTTCAATAAACCAACGAATTTTACTACCACTTTACTCTCGCCTTCCTCTTTCTTCACTGTCTTCTTTTTTCTTACGACCTTTAATACTTGGCGATCTTCTAACACTCGTTGTTCTTTCAAATTGACCCAAGTTACGTTGACTCTCCAATGAGGGAATATTTGGTCTTTCTGTTCCACTTCCGCCACTTTCATATTCTTGTCTTTCTATACTACCGCTACTTCCAAATTCTTGTTGTTGCTGTCTTTCAAGAGGTCTAAATGAAGTGATAGGATCAATTGAAACAGGTTGATATTGTCTTTGTTGCAGAGGCAATGAAGTAGAAGAATGACTTGTTAACGATGTAGAAGAAATATTTGGAGAAGGTAACGAAGAAACTGGTCTTGAAGATGGACTTCCTGTAGAATATTGTCGTGATGGACTTCCCGTAGAATGTTCTCGTGAAGGACTAACGGATCTTGGTCTTGGCCTTTCTCCAGATGATGTTGCTCGAAGTCGGGGGGAAGGTGAAGGCGAAGCAGTAATACCTGTTGTTGTTTTTACTACTGTAGTTGAACCGGTTGTGGCTGGAGGTTGAGTTAAACGCGAAGACATTTCTGGCGGTGGTGTTGGTCCTTTCCTAGGTCCTTTAACAAGTATTTCTCTACTTGGAATTACTTTACTAGGTTTTCTTTCACCACGACAGCTTGAAATACTTTTTATAAAAGCATAGAATATTATTTCATCACTGTCAACTCTAAACATATCTGCTAACCATTGAAGTATATTTAATATCGCTAATAATATAATAATCGTAATGGTAATTTTATAAGTTGTTTTGTTTATTGTATCTGTATCATTTGGAATTTCAATAAAAAGTGCAGCTAATATAATTAAAAAACAACTTAATATTCCTATAAATTGAGATAATTGAGCATCAAGATTTTTGATGGAACTATAATAAGCTGTAAATAAATCGCCTTTAACAAAATAACTTTTAAATATATGAACAATTTGAAATGGACCACCATAATATATTGTAACATCATTTATTTCTTCATCGCTTTCTCCTTCTTGATTTTGATGATATTTAAAGATTGGAATAGGCTTTTTTGTGAATTTTGTATACGCGAAAATTCCCAGAACGCTTAAAAGTATTAATATTTGTAGAGAAAGTGTGAACCCAGTAATTCTTCCAATTAAATCCAATTGACCAAATTTCCATTGAGTTAACGCGAAAGAACCAATTAATAAATTAAATAAAAATTCAAAGAAAGAAGAAGAAACAGTCGATAAAGTTAAAGCATTTGCTATCAGAAATGTATAATAAAGACCAATTGTAATTATTAAATCTATTTTAATATGTGGTAGATTTCTTTTACGTTTAAGGTTAAAAGAAGCTCTGGCTTTTTGTGGATCACTTTCCTCATATTTTGAGCCTTTTTCTTGTAGTTGTTCTGGCGTCTGTGTCTCAATGTCGATAGTGGTAAGACTTTGGCTTTTATCCGTGGGGAATTTTTTCATTATTATTTTGTTGACAATTTATATTATTTTTTTTTTTTTAGTATTTCCGTAAATTGCGTGGTAGGAAACGAAAATATTTAGCGGAGGATAAACAAAAAATTTGTGAAAACAAATAGACCGACCATAAGTAACCTGATCATTAATATTTCTTTCTTTTTCATGCTTTGTCAGTTGTGAAATATCTAAATTTATTTTTTAATTTTGTGGCGGTTCGTATTGATAAATTTCTCTATGATTACATATTTCCTTTCTTTGCTCATTTTTCAACAAGGATCTAATTACATAAATTAAAATTCGATTGTTAAATTAAAAAGCCTCAGATAACCCTATTATCTTTATAAATACTTAAAACTAAGCCTTTTTTTCAATTTTTTTCTCCATTCTCTTTAGAAATTCGGGGAATACACCTTAAATGTTTAATTTGATGTTTGGATTTAATGTTTGGATTTAATATTTAAGTTTAATGTTTAATTTAATACTTAATTTATATTTGCACCAAATAAATGCCTCAAATAGGAATCTTTCGAGGTTTCTAAACGAAAACAATTTTCGCTTTTTTTTTTTTAAAAAAAAGAAAAAGTTCAAGCATAATATTTTCTAGAGCGAGGCTATGTCTCTGAGGCTTTTTTATATTCGAAAATCAAAACCTTGTACCAAGCCACTCGATCTGAGCCATTCGTACACAGGCTGAACCAATAAAAATGCATTAAGGTATTTCTTTTTTATTATACCAAGCCATTAATTAGATCATTAATTTTTTTTGATACGAAAACTTATTTTTTGAAATAAAAAGTTCTTTGATTTGAAATCGGAAGTAATTTTATAAAAAGCGAATAATAAACCCGTGATTATTTTGATAGATTTGATACTCGCGACAAATATATATTTCACAGTAAACATGTGATTTTACAATGGCGTTAGAGATATTTCTAGATTGTAATAAATCTTTTACGTTTTTCTTTTTTTCTTTTACTTTTATTTCTGGGAATGGTTTACGTGACAAAATTAACTTATGTCTGAAATTCATTAAATTTACAAGAAATAAAGCAAGATTTTTATAATATGACCAAAAAAAGTTCATTATTATGCAGTAAATCCAGTAGCACACGCTTGTTATTAATTATTCCTATTTTATCTTTGTCACCTACCAAATTGGTGAACAAAACATGCTTTAATTATAGTAAGTGATGTTCCTTGAAAGATAATAAGTTTAAATCTTGGCCGCCAAGGGTCAATATTTATTTAATTTTGAGAATATTCTAAGTTTAATAAAATCAATGTAATAATATTGTTACCGTAACACTTTATTAAATTTTTTAAGTCAAGCATTTATCATGCAGCTCTGCATCATTATATATTTAGAAACAAAAAAAAATCCATGATGTAAAAAATGGAAAATACAATGAAAATAGAAAAAAAAACATTATTAAAAGTCCTTTTATTGACGGATACTGATTTATTCAGTTCTATTTGGAAATGAGAGAAAACTTTAAAGTTCTATAATGCAAAAGTAGATATATTGCCACTTTGTTTTTCAAATTTCTAAGTCCCATTTGGAATCAATAAAATCAATGTAAATAATATTGCTTATTGTTATTAAATTTTTTACCATGCATCATATGTATTGGTGCAAAAAGAATGTATGACGTAAAAAATGGAAAATATAAAAAGAATTTATGACGTAAAATGGAAAATACCAAGGAAAATGAAAAAAAATAGCATATCCATATTAGGTCCTGAGGCCTGGGACCAATTCCATTTATTCGGTTCTATTTAGAAACGTGAAGAATTTTTAAAGTTATATAAAGCACAAGTAGAATTCTTGTCTGTTTTTTTTTTTTACCCAAATATTTACCTAAATATTTACTATATATTCAATAATTGCCACTTTGTTTTCAAATATTAAAATATGGATTTTTACGATTTTATTGACGAGAATAATGCATTTGGAAATGGAATTCCATATCGTGAAGGAAAACCAATTAAACTTTTACAATTTGAGGACGAGTCTGGTCGATTTATTCTTAACCAGGACGCATTGAATATAATAAATAAAATTGAAGAACCCATTTCAATTATAGCAGTTGGTAAACGATTGTCATTTTTCTCATCTTACCATGATTTCATTTTATTTTATTTGTCATTATTCAAGTAGAATTAAATTAATGCCATCAATTAATATTATTTTATTAGCTGGGGCCTATCGTTGCGGAAAATCTTGGATTGGTAACGTTTTTCATGGCCGACATGACGGTTTTGAACTTGGAGCTGAAGTTCAAAGTTGCACGAGAGGAATCGATATGTGGGACAGTCCCTTTATACATGAAGGGAAACGAGTCATTATATTGGATTGTGAAGGTTTCAATGAACCTAAACAAGATCAATTATATGATACCAAACTATTCGTTTTATGTTTGATTATTTCTTCAATTTTCGTTTATAACATAAATGCGATAGTAGGAAAATCAGATATTTCGAAATTGTTCCTTATGACCGATTTAACAAAATATGTTCGACCCACAACAGAATGCCAATATTTACCAAGATTGGTAGTTTTAATTAGAAATTTCGGGTTGAAGTCTCCTGAAAATTTTCGAGAATATTTTTTAGAAAAGTTGGAAGAAGTTAATGTTGATGGTAAGAATTATTAATTATATAATTACATAATTATATCAATTTGTTTATTTTTCTTCTCCTGTTTATAGCCGCCAAGGGAATTAAAGAGCATTTTTCGGATTGTGATGTCTATGGATTATCAGTAAGTATTCTTAATTATTCCAAAGCTATTAATTCCAAAAAATGAAATGTAATAATTAATTAATTATTATAATTATTATTTTAGCATCCGGGAATCACAAAAGAAAGGTTACAATACATGGATAAAGTACCAACTCAAGATTTAGATCCGTGTTTTGTATCTGAAATTATCGTTACTGTGAACCAAATTTATCAAAATCTTGAACCAAAATATATTGGTTCGTCTGCCATGTCTGGAATAGCATTTGCTCGATTTATAACGGAATGTGTTAAGAGATTAAATGACCCAGAAAATAATATTCAAATTTCAATACCTGATGAATATTCTTCAGTAACAAATTTCGTAGCTAGAAAAACCACTGAAAAATGTGAAAAATTATATAAACAAACAATGGAAAAAGAAATCCAAACATTACCAATTCAATGGGATGTAATTAATTTTTGTCATTCGATAGCTTTTCATGCATCGGAAGCCGAATTTTTTAAATCTATTATTGGTTCCGGTCCTCAGATTCTAGAATTTTTAAAAGAATTACATATTCGGATTGAAAATATAAAATCCGAATTTTATAAAACTAATTCTGAAGCATTATTACAACATTATACCGAGATAGCCAATAATCTCTGGGAAATGCATGTTAAAAGCGGTCTTAGATACCAGAATCTTTTTTCTGTGAGTTTTTATTTAATTTATCATTATATTTAAAGATAAATATAATAAACTAATATTCTAATATTTATATTATTTTTAATAGGGACAAGACGAGTTTGAAGAAGCCATTGAAAAATTTGAAAAAGAAATGGATGAATTGCCTCAAGGACCAGAAGTTAATAAAGTTTTTGCAAATTATAAATCGAAAGAGTATAAAGAAGCCATTGAACTAATGGAAATAATGGGAAAATTGCAATCAGATTTGGCTAATAATTTAAAAAGTAATCAAGAAAATCAACAAAAACTCTTGGAAACTTTAGCCGAAGAAGAAGTGTTAAATAGGCAATACAGCACTAAACAAGAAGAATATAGTTATTCTGATCAATATCTCGCTGCAAAATTAGTTGAAATGAATAATTTAATGGAACGACAAAGGATAGAAAATCTTGAAGCTTTGGAAAAATTGAGAGAAGAACAAATGATATCCTTTGAAAGGTTGAATAGACAAAAAGATGAAGAAATCGCGAGAATTAAAGCAGACTTAAAAATTAAAAAGAATGACAAAGAAATATGGCTAGATGCCCTCAATAAAATTGTTGAATTTGGAATTAATTTTGGCATTAATGTTGGCATTCCATATATTTTAAAGAAATTTATACCTGCACTTTAATATTATTTTACTCATTAGAAAAATGCAGTCAACTTATCTAATAATGTTAAGAGGAATTTAATATGATATGGGGACCGTGATTGTAAGTGGGGGGTTGACAGTATAACAAATATTTATATAATAAAATAAAAGACATTTTTAGCGCAACTATATGTATATATAATAAATAAAATATATTTTTAGCGATCATATGTTTTCTTAAAAAAAATTGCCACAAAAAAAAAAAAGCGATAGCTTTTTATTATTTGATCATGAAACTAATCTCTCGGCAGGAGGGAGAAGAGAGAGAGAAATTTTTTTTTTTTTTCCGTCAGGAATTAACTAAAAAAAATAAAAAATCTAACAGCTAATGCTTGGATTTCAGAAATTTTGGTTCTTTAAATTTTTTCAACCAAAGACTGCTCATCACTACACTCACGCTACTACATACCATCAACAATCCTGCCAAGGCAGGTGGTAATTTAACTTTGAATATGGGAAAGAAAACTCCCGCGGCTATAGGTATGGAGCATGAATTATACATGAATGCCCAAATAAAATTTATACGAATTCTTTTTATGATTGCTTTGCTTAAAACGATCATTGTTATTAAAGAATATAAAGTAGACCGGGTAAGGATAATTGAAGAGGATTCAATGGCTATGTCACTAGCATTAGAAATGGAAATTCCGAGATCGGCTTGAGTAAGTGCTAAAGAATCATTTATTCCATCTCCAAACATTGCTACTACTGAGCTTTTTTTAGATTTATTCGAAGTTGAAGAAGAATTACGTTGTTGCAACCATTTTATTTTTTGCGCTTTCATCTCAGGAGTCACTTGTGCTAATACATTTTTGATTTTTAAACGAGATGCGATGGCTTTCGCAGCGATAGGATGATCACCTGTAATCATCCAAACGTCAATTCCCATGGATTTTAATGTTGAAATAGTGTTTTTTGCTTCAGGTCTTGGTTTATCTAATATACCAAATCTTGCTACAATTTCATGTGAAAAATTGTTATTATCGATATCGTTATTAATATTTATGTCATCATCGGCAAGAGATAACCCTACTATTACAATAGAACATCCAGATTTTCTCCAAGATTGCGTAAGATTTTGTTCTTCAAAAGATTCTGATGATGAGTACATGCACTTTTCCTCTAAAATCCAATCTTCATTTCCCACAAAAACATTATAATTGACGCTTTCCTTTGAATGCTTGAATTTTCCAACTATACAAATTGGTGATCTTACATTAACTATTGCTTTGAGTCCTTTTCCTGGAATTTCTGTGACATTTACCAAACTAACATTTTTAAAGTTTTTCATTAAATTTTGATTCTTTTTTTTCTCGTCTTCCATACTCATCATATCTGATTGCTCACTTAATTTATTCATTACATGTTGCGTAACAGCTTTAGCCAAAGGATGGTCACTCGAAGATTCCACAATTCCAATGATTTGTAACAAGAGATATTTTAAATCTATTTTCTGTACACCTTTTTTAGCTTTTACAATAATTTTGGATTTAACAACTTTAGGTTTTCCATATGTGAGCGTTCCAGTTTTATCAAAAGCGATTGTATCAATTTTACTTGCCAGCTGTAAAGCTTCACCGCCACCTTTAATTAAAATTCCAAATTTTGCAGCTATTCCTGTTCCGACCATTATAGCTGTAGGAGAAGCCAATCCAAGTGCACAAGGACACGCTATTACCATTACAGATATTGCAAAAAACAAAGCAAATGTTACATAATTTTCATTAGGTGGTATCCAATCTTTAGGATAAGAGTTAGTTGAACCAGCAATTAACCAACTTATAAAAACTATTATAGAAATTGATATAATGCTTGGTACGAACACTCGAGAGATTTTGTCGCCAAGTTCTTCAATGGGTGCTTTCTTACTAGATTGAGCTTCTTGTACGAGAGTGATAATACGAGAAAGAGTGGTATCTGAACCCACATGAGTAGCTTTAATTAAGATAGTTGAAGATTGATTTAAGGTAGCACTTATAACGATATCATTGATAGATTTGCTAACGGGAATTGATTCACCCGTAATCATAGATTCGTCAACAGAAGTAATTCCTTTCACAATTTTACCTATAATAATATCCAATAATATTTTTTATCAAATTTTTTTTTTTTTGAAATTATGAAATTATAATAATAATAAATAAAAATCCTCTTACCATCACAAGGTATTCTTGCTCCAGCATTAACCTTAAATATATCACCGACTGAATTTATTATATGAGAATATTATTGTATGAATATTATATTAGAAGTTTATAATATATAATAAAATATACCTTGAACAAGATTAATATCAATTTTTCGTTCCTCAATGATTTCATTATTCATATCAATCTTTACTAAATCAACCTTTTCAGGTTGTAATTCCATCAATTTTGTCATAGTATCAAGTGTTCTTCTTTTCGCTTTTGCTTCCATCCATCTTCCCAACCAAATAAATGTGATCAAGAATATGCTAGTTTCAAAAAATTCTTGTCCGTCGTTCATATTATTACTTTCATTATAATTAACTATTCCAATAAGTACACTAATAATGGATCCAAAATAAGAGACAGAAGTACCTAGAGCAACTAAAGTGTCCATATTTGCTGTACGAGTATATCTAATAGAATGATAAGATTTGACATAGAAAGGGTATCCAATATAAAACTGGACGGGTGTTGCAAGTAAGAACATTATTAATGTACCAATATTAAGTCCAGGAAACACTTGAAAACCCAAAACATTTTGAGTGAAACTGATATCTTTTAGGAACATCATAAACATCATCCCAATGATGAAAGTAGGAATGGAAAATAATATGGAAAGCATGGTTCGTTTACGAAGAAACTTTTCATGTTTCTCAGCACGTTCACGAATTGATTTTGAGGTAGCATTTATGTTAACAGATGAGAAATTTTGATTTAACTGAACAGTAAAGCCAGCATTCGTGATTGTTTCCATGAGAGTTCGATGACCAGTTTTATAAGGATCATGAGTGATGATGACATCACCTGTAAGCAAGTTGACGTTGGTATCCTTTATGCCCGGTAAAATTTCTATTACGCGTTTTACTGACGAAACACATGACGCGCATGTCATTCCACTAACGATTAAACGTGTAGTGATGAGATTTTCGTTCTTTTCATTTAAGTCACGTGCATATGTATTATCTGTATTTAGGTCTTCGACTTTTACATCTTCGAGTGTAAATCCAGCATTTTTAATAGTAGCTTTAATTAATTCAACATCGAGTTTTGACTTTTCAATTCGTAAAGATCCTTTACTTAACAATAAATTAATGTCAATGGAATTAGATTCGATACCATCAATTCTTTCTAGTACTCGTTGTGCCGATCCTACACATGCTGCACAACTCAAGCCATTGATGGTGAAAGAAACTTTAATATAGTGGTAAGTATTACATGAAGAATTAATTACGATGATTGATTGCAATATATCATTTTCATTAACATTTTCATTAACATTTTCATTAATATTTGTTTCTGGAGGTATCATTTTGTATTTGGCAAAAGTTTATAATCTGAATAAGGATGAAAAATATTTCAAATATTTCGTTAAAAAAAGGCCAGCTTTTTTATAAAAATATAATATAATAACGATTAAATAAAATACATAATCCAAATTAGTAAATCATGCGCTTTTTATGCTATTTGCTTCAAGTAATTAACGTATTCGATTTATATAAATATTTTTACAAAATTGGTATCTAATAACTAAAATTCAATATGTAAAAAAAGCTAATATAAAAAGTACTAATTTAAATAATTAAACATATATAGGAAAGTAATTCATGTGATTGACAAGTCACATGTTGGGAAATTTTATTGCCGAAGTTATCTGCACTTTTAAAGGATAAAAGAATTGCAATGTGATTGTTAAAGAAAACTTCACGGCTCATTCAGCAGTATTACGATATCGTTCATCCAATTTCAATAAGGAATTAGCAAATATTTCTCAAAATGAGAATAATATTAAAACAAATTTCTAAACCGAATATTTTGATAGCATAATTAATTCGTAGAAGTTAACTGATAAAGTCAAAAAGTTAAATCTGTGTTTGCCTTACAGTCAAGTCATGAACCATCAAGAAAAGTACATTTTTTTATTTTTATAAATTTAAAGTTAGGTTAGTTAGGTTATATAAGTACTGATTTGTAGTCACAGTTTGATGTTTCAATACTTATAATTATTCAAAAAATTTATTTAATCAGGGTTCATTAATAATGGGTTTCCCCCGGATTTTAATTAATTTGTTTACTTCTATCACGGATCACGAATTAAGGTGAAATAGTTGATATTATACAGTGCGGAACCTCTATAATAGGAACTTGGTTATAATAAAAATTGTTTAGTTTTATTTACTATATTGTATAGAAATAAAATTTTAACTGTAGAAATAGATCAGAATTTTTGATCGACTTAAATTGATCAACTTTTACTGGGGTTAAATTTCCTATATTTAATTATATCCACCGAATTTGAAGAATATACAAAAATAGTAAAACGTTATAATTTTGCTTAGAAAACTATTCCTGAAGTTTATATTTAATTTTTTAATTACGATTTGAAAATATGTACAAAGGTATTGCTGAAAAAATGACAAAGATATGCAATTAAAAAGTATAAATCTCATTGTCATGTACTTTATATAAATTTTAATGAAATCAAATAATTAAAATTTCCATAAATAAAATAATAAACACATGAATATATTTCTGAATTCTGATTGGTCAAAATTGCATCATGTATGCTTACATAAACTAAGAAAATTCGCGAAATTTTTTTTTCCATAAATAGATTCTCCCAATATATACATCCAAATACCTATACGTAATATAGAAAAATTCTGATCATTGGATTAAATTTTATTTAGGATTTTCTAAGTTCCTATTATAGAGGTTCCGCACTCCCTATAAGAAATACGCATATTTAAAATATATTTAAAATATACCAATTATATTTGTGATAATCTACTTAAAATATTATTATTTTATAATTAAAATATATTTAAAATATACTTAAAAAAATACTTAATTTAGGTAATGAGTAAATATATTTTAAATATATATTTAAAATATACTTAATTTAAGTAATGAGTAAGTATATTTTAAATATATTTTAATTATAAAATAATAATATTTTAAATAGTTTTTTATACTTAAAAAATATTTAATAAAATATATTTTAAATATATTTTAAGTATATTTTAAATATTATAGTTTTTATAGAAATGATAATAAATTTATTGAATAATATTATACTATGTACATTAGATATATATGTTACACTTTTTCATTCTGGTTCTTATGATAAATATATTGAATCTATTTTTTGAATTTGGATATTTACTTTATATTAAAAATAACATAATTACAATAAAGCTCCATTGGCTTTTCTTTTTAATATATTTTATTGAAAAGATATTAAATATTCTTTTGTAAAAGTAATAAAACTATTTTTAGTAAACTTTAATGATTATTTGTTGAAAATATGTATAGCAAAATACATGTACATACATCTACAAACAGAAATACAAATAATATTATAAAACAAGCTTATTTAATTAATATATCAATTATTTTATTTATTTTTATTTATATAAAAATATTTATAAATTTAATAATTTTATAGATGAACGAAATTATGATAAACTAAAAGATACATTTCAAAAATCAAAAGAATCTCTTTATGAACTATTATTATTAAAACTATTATCAGAAAAAACATTACTATTTTTATTTAACTATTTTAAGAAATATATAAAAATTAAGAAAAAAAAATATTACATAAAAAAAAATAAAAATAAAATATAAATTAGTTACTTTAGGAGAAACTGTTGATTTAAAGTATTTTTCAACAGTATATAGTACCAGCAAACTCCCATTACAAGATACTTGTGATTATTGTAATAAAAAACTTAATAATGGTAAAGTATTAATGTGTGGTTATAGTTATCACTATAAATATTATCAGATTCTTGAGTATGGATGTTGTTACTAGTTGACCTATTGGACTAATTTTATTTTTCCAAAAGGCAATTTATAACTAGCAACTCGTAAACAGTTACTTTAGTTTACAAATTGAAGAAGATCATAAAGAAGAAATAAAGAATTATTAAAGTTAAATACTAAAACTAATTAAAAGGACTTAAGATTTAAGATCACAGGATTTAAATTATTGACTAATGATTCAATTTTAAAGGTCAAGTTAAGAAATTAAGATAAAGAATTAAATATATTTATCAATGGTTTATAAAATAGTAACAGATATTTATAAGTCAAATTTTATATTCGAAGAATATAAATTAATAAAAAGAACAGAGTTTTAATATAAAAGGTATAAGTTTATTATGAAGAAAAT